GTAGTCGTGCTGTGTGTTCCGATATGTCTTTTATGTATGGCAGGATGATCCATTTATTGGTTCTAAAGTTATCTCACTGAATTATACTTCTCGAATAATATCTTCGCTCCCTAATCTTCCCCATGACCATTTATAATTCTACTATCTCTACCATTATGGGATTTGAACTGACAGTTGCATCTCTGTGCTAATGTGGTATAGCAACCTGAACTGATGATGTACGTACACGTACGAAGTTCTACTTTGTAACTGACTGACTGAATGACTGATTGCAGTTCAACGCCACCCAAGAACAATGTCTAATAATAAAGTTATCGAATAGTTTGTTGCCGTTTTTTGTGATTTTCTAAATGGCTTCCTATGCAAACATACAAACATACATACATAAATGATGTAATTCGTTTTGAACATAAAAATAGTCTTTCAGATGAGACAGGTCAAATATTGACACACAGAAAAAATAAAAACCATTTTAAAAAAAAATTCAATCGGCTAGCGATCAAAAGTTCATACTGATGATGATAAACTGCGTTGACTTTTTTTCAATTATCACTTGATAATAAAGTTCAAACGTTTCAAATTGAATTATTTCGACCAAATTAGTGGTCATCATCACACTGTAACATAAAAATCAACCAAAATCAGATCATCACCGATGAACTCAGCTTTTGTTGGGAGCATTAGATCCTCAGAACTCACTTGATAAAGGTCTAATTTTCGGGTTTTATCCATGGGCTGGTCAGCTGACCTTGAGACGACATTTCCCATCAGGAAAATCCTTAACTGTTATTGGTTGATGTGTTTTATTTTAGTATGCTATTTTTGTGACTCTCCTAAGGACGTATCTATCATCTGTAAATAAACTAGATTTGTGTACTTGTCAACCTTATATTCTCTGAGTGCTTGTAGAATAAAACACTTTCTACATCTTGTCAAGACTTCTTCTTCTTCTACTTAGTGGGGCTTCGGGACGCTCGGATTAGAGTAGCCTATCGTGTCGCTGGATCATCTTGTCTTCACTCTCATTAACCGACTAAGGTGAACTTGTCATAGTTTTCAAGTATATCAATTGACGAGCATAACACTTTTACAGGCGGTTAATCGCTACCTAAAGATCTGTACTTGATATCAGTTGACATATACACTACTGAAAATTAAGAAATAGTAGACATCTAATTTCGTTTTGATGTACATACACAATCAATCACCCTATGGATCAAATCGACCAGTTTCACATTTGAGATTCTCAACTTCTTCAAAAACGTTAAGCGCTCTGATATAGTAATAATGTCTAGTGACTTTATTGATCAAGTAGGTAGACTAGGTGAAAAGGAAAGACACCTGGGTAGATCGTATGGTGTCACAGCTCTACTTAATGATAATAAAGCTAAGAATATATTTCAGGAACAATTAGAAAAACACTTCGGGCAGCCATGTAGTAAGTGATGCCCACCCTGAGGCAGCTTAGAAAGATATCAAAAAAGCTGTTTAAACAGCTGTGATATCTGCTGGCAAGGTGAACCATAAGTCTAGGAAGAAGCTGCGGATTTCAGTAGCATCTACCTAACTACTGATGGATGCTCGAAAACTCATCCCGCCTGGCTCTGAGTGCGATGAGGGGCGGAGTCAGCTTAGGCGCAGGCTGATAAAAAGCCTACTCAGTGATCGTGAACAGTGGTGGGTAGCGAAAGCGAGAGAGATAGAATAGACAGTGGCGATAGACAATAGTAGCCAACTATTCAGACTCATCAAAGAAACCCTAATCTCTCCGATTACTTCTAATACTTTTACTACCTTTACTACTATTATGGGATTTGAATTGACAATTACATCTCTGTGCTAATATGTGGTATGGCAACATGAACGGATGTACGTAGGTACGAAGCTCAACGTTGTTGTTTAACTGACTGGTTGATTGATATTTTAGATTGAATCATTGAATGTGTTTTAATGATACAACAATCCTAACATGATTCAATTCGAGGATATCAGTACTATGTCAACAATGATGACAAAACCGTTTCAATAAAGCTAACTAACTATCTAGTACCGCTTTAGTTTCAATGATAAATTCTATGATAATTACAAGCTATAAATAGAATACCGCTGACCGCACACACACACACACGCAAACCCGATACCAATTAGTCAGTCAGTCAGATGCAACGTAGAACTTGGTATGTAAGTACATCAGTTCATGTCGCCATAACACATCAGCACAGAGATATAACTGTCAATTCAAATCCAATAGTAGAAGAGGTAGTAAGGGTATTAGAAGTAATCCGAGAGGTTAGGATTAGAAGTTATTATTCAAGAAGTATGATTCAGTAGTGAGATAAGTTTAGAAAGTCGAAACTAGAGCGGTTGAAGAATCCAGAAGATTAAGATTTGAGAGAACACAAAGAACACAAATGCATCGGCGCCATTGCAAACGATTTTGAGCCAATCATCATACAAGGGTCACTAACCATCGATTATTATCATCGCTTATCGGCTCTCTGAGTTAAGATCATGTGTAGTACCAATTAATCACACAGCTAGGGGCGGCCAGACCAAAACATGGCACAAATCCATGAAGTCACTGACAAGTGCACTGAGTCATGTTGGTAGATGTAGACTACCTGGTTGGGGTCCAAGAGACGAAAGTCACCAATGGTTAGAGACCTTGAACGACATGGTTCAAAATCGTTTGCAATGGCGCAAGTGCATCCATTCGTTGGGTGAGCTCTCTCAAATCGTAATCTTCTGGATTCGTTAGCACCTCTACCTTTGTGTTTCTAACCTTATCTCACTGAATTATATTTCTTGAATAATATTTTCAAACCCTATTCTTCTTTATTACCATTAATACCTCTACTATCTTTATCACTATGGGATTTGATTTGACATTTGCGTCTCTGTGCTCATGTGGTATGGCAGCATGAACATAAGTACACACGTACGAAGTTCTACGTGGCAACTAACTAACTTATATGTCATAAATATATATGTATATGCATATACACAAATAGATTAACTGTTACTTACGTGAAACTTTCAATGATACAGTAGTATTCACAGTCGCATCACCTAAACTCGCGGTACATCGATAATCAGCTTCATCTTCTTCTTGGTTAACTTCAGTTATTCGCAGAACACGTCCATTCTCCAGCAGTTGATGCCGATGATCCACTGGTATACGACGAATGTCACGACCATTTTTTATACGATGCCATTGAAGCTAAGTAGTTATATGAAGTATAAAACAATTTTTTTACTTAGGTAAAGGACTGAGTTTGTGTTATTATTATACATGTTAGACCAACGTTCAAAAAAACCTGGAAGCACACTGAAAGACGACTGTTTCGTCCTGATATGGAACTCATTAGCAGTAGTGCTCATCCACGACTCCTACCACTCGCACGATTTGAACCTAAGACCTTCAGTCTCGTACGCGAACATTAGGTGCTGGTACAGTGATCCAGAGGTTAAGCGTCCGTGCTCAAGACTGGAGGTCCTGATTACGAATCCTGCGATTAGGAACAGTCGTGGATGCGCACTGCCACTGATGAGTCTCATACAAAGACGAAACTTTTGCCCAAACGGTTCCAGGTTTCTAATGGTTGTGGCCTAACATTAATCGATTCGTGATTTTAGAAAGTAACTCAACAATCTCTTCAACCCAATAATGCAAATTTATTATATTTGGCAAGCCATTATGCCATAAAAGTAAGTACTGAGTAACCATTTGGCTTTATGATCAGGAAGAAGATTAAAATAAATGATAACTTTCAGGACTGACTTATCCCAACGATAGCTGCTACCTGGATGTAGTGGTCGGGCTTGCTTATCATGATGACCCAACCGAGCTATATTGGCTGGAACATATGTTCCTGAAGGTTCTACCATGCCAGGCAGGTCGATTGCAGAACGATGAGACAAAAACCAGCTAATCAAGATCTGAGGGAGAAGTCGTACTGCTGACTGCAGAGGGATGTGACAGCAGTAAGGTGTTTCCCACAAGGAAGGAAAGGTTGGAAAAGGTCGACAATAAAAATGTCACACATCACCCTACCTCACGGATTTCCGTCTCCGTCGGTAAGGTTGCCCACTGAGGGCCTTTAAGAGCGGAGCTAATACTCAAAAAACCTTTCATAAAAAAGCCGTGCGTGACCGGCCTCAAAGCAGTTGTCTTTTAGGCTCTGCGGTCACACCCCCAGGTCTCTAAGACCAACGCTAATCTACCTTCCTTTTCAGGTTCCTCAAGAAATATCCTTCTACGGTATGGGCAGACATGTAGTGACAACCGCCCCCTCATACACGTAACAGCACGCGAGGACTGGGCTTATGGCTTAATTATTGTGTATAACCCAATTCGTATAATTATTCAATAAGTAGATTAACCTATTAAGCATTGTTTTGTGATTTACTAGTGCCAACTGTCTGCCGGTTTACCGTTCAAAGACTCTAGAGGAGTCTCATTCTCTGATGTGATGTGATCTCGGTATATTTTGCATAATAAACTATATCTACTTGACAATATAACAGAACTACGTGGAGGCTAACTAACTCACAGACTTCTAGGCCTAGGAGGCAAGGATAGAAAGAAATCAACTATCGATCTGTGGACCAATAAGAATTTAGAGATGACTCAAGGCTACAGGTGCTAAACGTAATTCTGATTGGTTTTTTTTGTACTTGTCACACGGACACAATGTATAATGACATTTTTCTTCGAGGAGGAAGGAGTTGCTGTTGATACTCACTGCCGAGGAGTCCCATGTACAAGGATAAAATAGCTTCCTAACCATTTCATATCGATAACTCTGTTGGGGCCCCTCTGGGCTACTTCCGGTCTCAAGCCCGGATAAGTGGGGAGGGTTGGACGTGGGGTTCAGCGACCCAATCCCGTAAGAAAACTAACTCGCTAAACAAACGCTAAACAGAACAAATTTCATATCAATAGTATCAGTAAATCGATAGCGCATCTATACACATCAAAGTCATTTAAATTCACTTACTGTAGGTATACCACTTCCAATAAAATAACATTTCAGTGTATAAGCTCGACCAGCGATAGCTGGTTTACCAACATCCATAGGACGTAGACGAAGTGGTGTATCCATGAGAACATAAGTTCGACAATCTGCTTGACCATAAGAATTTTCAGCTACTGCACGATATTCTCCACCGTATGTCCACATATCATCTAAATTTTGTAACTAAACAATGAGAAAAACAAGAAAACAAATGAAACATGAAACGTCAGCATGTTAGTACAGAAGTCAACCAGTTAGTCAGTTAGTCAGTCAGTCAGTCAGTCAGTTACAAAGTAGAACTGCGTTCGTAAGTACATCAGTTCAGGTCGACATACCACATTAGCACAAAGACACAAATGTCAATTCAAATCCAAGAGTGGTAGATATAGTAGAGAATTACTGGTAATGGAGAAGAATAGGATTTGAAAATAATATTCAAAAAGTATAATTCAGTGAGATAAGTTTAGAAAGACAAAGGTAGAGGTAATGACGAATCCAGAAGATTGAGATTTGAGATAACACAAAGAGTGGATGCACCTGCGCCATTACAAACGATTTTGAGCCATGTCGTTCAAGGTCTCTAACCATTGGTGACTTTCGTCTAGCGGACCTCAACCACGTAGCCTACATCTACCAACATCACTCAGTCTACTCGTCAGTAACTTCATGGATTTGTGCCATGTTTTGGTCTGGCCACCCCTAACTTTCTTCCAACCTACGCCTACACCACAAAATATAGCTCGTCGAGGCAGTCGATGCTTAGGTATTCGTAACACAGGTCCCAAACACCTCAACTGATGTAGTTTCAATACTTCATCAATTCATCTGTCATCCTTATCCTAGTACCTGCTTCCTGATAGCAACAGTGCTTACTCGGATGTTGCACAATACACGAGCAATGCTTCGAAGACATCTATGATCGAATACTAGTAACCTACGAATATATTCTACTCTTACCGGCCATGTCGGAGTAGGGAAATCGACAACATCGATAAGTCTGTGCAAGGATATCAAGAAATATGATTTCATATCCAGTTCCTAATAAACTCGCAGTTACTCTATGTTACAACTTCAGTATAAGAAAAAAAAGCACACAGTACCAGAAGAATACTTTACACCAACATTAGTTTACGTAAAGAAGAATGAGGACATTTATAGAGTTACACATGATCTTGAGGCCTCGGGAAGTCTCGAAGACCAGATTAAATATAGTAGAGGTACAACTAAATATCTAATCAGGATCGCGGCACATGATTCTGCATTTTTCTAAATACCATTCAGCCTAGATTGAATAAAACGTTCCCTGGTGTCTTATGAGCCTCTTCTAGAAACGTTTTCGAAGGATATTTTGAGACGATTAAAGATGCAGTACCCGTAGTGGAATGAAAAAAAAAATATATATATATATATATACATAACATCGTAAGAGATGACAAAATCAACTGTACAGACTGTGAAAAACACTACATCGGAACAAAATGGACATTATCTTCAGCTTCGCCTACATGAACATCAATTTAACAGTCAAACACAATGACATACTTGTGGACTACTATGGATATACAATCGATTAGCAAAAATGTTGAAATACTGGATATATGGAGAGTAAAAACAACACTGGAGAGTTTTATTTTTTAGAAGCTTGGTACCCAAGTCAATCAACAAACAGATATAGATTGATCCAATTTACCAATCAATCAGAAAAATCATAGGCAAACATAAGATCAAGAACCGAATCAAAGAGGGATACGATTAAAAACTGAAATAGAAAATGACAGGTCAAAGGTGAATAATTACGAATCAAGATTGAGGTCAACAGGGCAAATTACGAGTCATACATTGGTGAAATTCGAATACATCAGTTCTTCTGTCTGAAGTTTGTTTGCCAAACCTGTGTCACCTATGGCGCAGGCGAGATATCCGCTTGTTAACCAACGGACGAGTGTACTATACAGAAGTTCGCTCTGTCCTACTGTACGGATGCGAAATATGGCCGTTAAGAGTACAGGACTTTCGTAGGTTACTAGTCTTCGATCATTGGTGTCTCCGAAGCATTGTCCGTGTATCCTGGGACAACCGTAAAAGCAACGCTGTCGTTAGGAAACGAGTTCTAGGTAGGGATGGCAAATCAATAGATGAAGTAGTGAAACTTCATCAGTTGAGGTGATTGGGACATGTGTTACGTATGCCTAAGCACCAACTGCAGCGACGAACTATGGTTTGCCGTGTAGGAGTAGGTTGGAAGAAAGCTAGGGGCGGTCAGACCGAAACATGGCACAAATGCATGAAGTCACTGACAAGTGGAATGACTCATGTTGGTAAATGTAGGCTGTCTGGTTGGTGTCCGCGAGACGAAAGTCACCAATGGTTAGAGACTTTGAACGACATGGCTCAAAATCGTTTGCAATGACGCAGATGTATCCACTCTTTGTGTTCTATGAAATTCTAAGCTTCTGCATTCCTCAAAATCTCTACCTTTCTCCTTCTAAATTTATCTTACTGAATTTTACTTCTCGAATCATATCATATCTTTGCTCCCTAATCTTCTGCATTACTGCTAATAATTCTACTATCGCTATCACTCTTGCATTTGAATTGACAGTTGCATCTCTGTGCTAATGTGGTATGGCAACCTGAATTGATGTACTTACGTACGATGTTCTGCGTTGTATCTGTCTGTCTGTCTGTCTACGTACTGATAATGTTGTTGTGTCCATATCAAACAATCTCTCCAGAGTTTAGGCGTTCGCAGTGCACAAGACGGAAAGGTCCTGAGTTCGAACCCTGCGAGTAACACAGGAGTTGTGGTTACGCACTGCCACTGATGCGTCCTATACCAAGACCAAAACGGTCGTCTTTCATTGCTTCCAGCTTCCTTTCTAATGGTAGTGATAGTCAGTAAGTAATAAACTCTATCAAAGAAAAAAATTCAACAATCACCAACCAACCATACTTACTTTACGAATATTAATCATAAGTCGTGTAATTGTAGTACATGCTATGCCTTCATCTAATATTACTTGACTAGACAGCACATTGGAATGATTATTACTGACATCATTCTCATTCTCATTCTCATTATCCTTATCACCGTTATCATCATCGTCATCAACATTACGTGCATTGTGATCCATGGAATTAGAAGGAAATACAATTGGTTGATCATCACGATACCATATAATATTTGGCGAGGGATTCGCAGCAAATTTACATTGTAACAATGATTCTGTATTGCCTAAATGCAATGATAAAAATACTTGACCAGCAGCATTACTAGATCCTAATTCAATGACAGGATTTTGCCATGTTAACATAGGACGCATTTTACCCATCATTAATAATGCAGTGGCTTGTGCATTATCAATTAAATCTGAGACTGTACGTTCTAAATTAGAAATGATTGTATTCGTTGTTGTTGTGGTGGTTGTGGATGTGGTTGTTGATGCGGATGCGGCTGCTGCGGCTGCCCCATTCGATGGATCGATATTAGATTTCAATGCCTTGGAATGATTGTAAGTGTTAGCCGACTGTGAATTAATGAACATCGTGGATAATGGAATACTATTAGCATAATAAGCAAACATTGTATCATCTGCAGATTGACGTTCGTTCAAATTCAAATTGAATCGATCCGATGGATGACCATTCTCGACAATACATTGATATACACCGATATCGTCTAGACTAAATGCTTCAATGATTAATCTTTCTGAAATGGAATGCAACGGATTCACATCCGATGAGGATGATGCCGACGCTGATGATGACGAAGAGGCTGTTGTCGGTGTTGTTGTCGATGTCGATGTTGTTGTTGACGGAATATGACGAACATGATGACGTCTTGGTACTAGGCGTGAATTATGCAACCAATAGATTAATTGACGTGGATGTCCTGTCACTTCACATGTTAACTCAACACGACTACCCCAATCGACTGTACGACGGTTAGGTGTGATTTTTACACCAAGTGGAGCTATGCAAGGAAGCAAGAAAAAAAATGTAATTCATGAACAAGATCAAAGATATCCATACATATAAACATATACATATTGTCAGGGACGCTAGATCCCCATAACTCAATTAGGAAAAATACTAATTTTGTAATTTATCTCTGAAATGCTGAATTTCTATGCTTTTGGAGCCAAGGGACGCTTCTAGTTGACCTTCAGGTTACATTGCCAGCTCGGAAAACCCTTAACTGTCATTGATTGATGCGATAGTTTAGTATGCTGTTTTGTGGTTCTCACCAAGGGTGATTTTTATCAATTGTATAGATAAGATTAAAGAGGAAGGCCAAGGAACATATTTCGCCGAGAAATAAAGTAAGATATGAGAAGAATGAACAAAAACTGGAAAGAACTAGAAACGGAATCCCAGGACAGAGTTGGTTGGAAAAAACTGGTGGGTAGCCTGTGCTCCATTGGGGGTAACAGGCGTAAGTAAGTACGTAAGATAAGCTTGAGTTGTGTGCGCTTAGAAACCTCAACCTTTCTGAGTGCTTGTGAATACATTCACTTTCTATATCTTATCAAGACTTCTTCCTTTAGCTAGCGGGGCCTGGGACAGTCGGATTAGAGCAACGTATCATGTCACTGCATCGTTGATCTTCGTTCCGTTTACCGAGTAAAGTGAATCCGTATTAGTTTCAAGCACATTACTTCTAAAACTGATTGCACACAAAAATGTACACAGTTTTGCATTGTATTATTATGGAGTTAGTGGTTTTTTTGTAACGATTGAAATCATGAATGAATCATTTTAAGAGTGGATTCGTGAGAAAATTCTTAGAGTTCTATTGATGAGAAAATGTGAACAGTGGAGTTCAACCCTGTTCGGGTGTGAAGCGGTGACTTCCGAAAAATAAATGGGTGAGGTCATGTAAAAACCTTACACTGGCCAGAGTAAGATAGTAAAACACCGTTGGATACCGACCGGCTCAGTGGTCCAGAGGTTAAACGTTCGCGCGAAAGACTGAAGGTCCTTGGTTCGAATCCCATGATTAGCAGTAGTTGTGGGTGCGCACTGCTACTAACGATGAGCCCCATACAGAGAAAAGATGCAAACTATGAACAGAATGCTTTACTTTACAGTTGGTTTATGATGTGTACTGTAAATCGACAATATTTATACAGTTACACATGACTGTGAACTTTTGAAAGATTACAGAATCCAAGACTAATTATAGTATAGTCGTGTATAATAAGTAAATATCACGGATACTCACCCTAATTCAAATCTCATATGGTGGACAAATGGAAATTTCGATATTGTGAAAAAATCATTACCCGACATAAAGATAAAGGGTAACTCTTAGGATATCCGTTCAATATCCTATAAGAGAATTATTGGTCAATTTCATGGTCCTCCTACTAGATATCAATGTCACGTGCTCCAATGTTGTTTCTTACTGGTTTCCCCTGACTATCAATGTCACTTCAAATGTTGTTTCTTATTGATTGACTAAACTGTCAATGTCACAGAATTCGATGATGTTTCCTATTCAGTATCTGTAATATTTTATGACCAGGAGCAGGACCAGGACCAGGACCCGTATAGTCCGGGATCCTTATTCTCTTCTGGACTTGGACCTGCTACTTTCTGTACGCTTGTAGAATACAGGTTCTACTCCACATTCAAGTCTTCTTGTTTTTACTCGATATGGGAGTTGGGATAATCGAATTTGATTAGCATGTCGTGTCACTGGATCCTCGATCCTCGCTCTCGTTTTCCGACTACTAGGTAAACTCGTAATAGTTCAAGTATATCAAATTGACGTGTTTACGTGCAGGCGTAACAAAGTGATCCATTGACACGATAGGCTATTCTAATCCGAGCGCTTCAGGCCCTCAAACTAACGGTCTCAAAAAGTCGTGATATGGCGTAGAAAGTGTATTCTACAAGCACCAAAAAAAAGATGATGAATATCCTAATACTGACTGACTGTAGGTTAGTGGTTTTCGATCATAGGTTTCTTTGAAGCTGTGCTATTGAGTAAGCAATGCTGTTGTTAGGAAATGGATGGTAGATCAATAGATGAAGTATTTATATTTCACCAGTTGAGGTGGTTGGGACATGTGTTACGAATGCCCAACCACCTACTGCCTCGTCGAGTTATGTTTAGCAGTGTAGGTGTAGGTTTGGCCTCGAATAAGTAGAGCAAGAAGTCTTGATATGGCGTAGAAAGTGTATTTTACAAGCATCCAGAAAATATGAGGTTGTGTACAGACAGTTCATATTTATGCGATTTGGTCGACCATGAATACTAACCAATAGGAAAGGACATTTAAAAGTATGTGAACTTGATTGTTTAGAACGACCCTAATCATTGACCAATAGAATTAGACTGACAAAATAATTTCTTTAGAATATTTGATGAGTATTCTAACACAAATTGACCTCGGGGAATGTTGCAAAACAACTACTACCAGTGTCAATGAAATCGGTCACCTTTCTAATCATTTTATGTATGGACTATTAGAAAAGCTTGTCAATGGGATGCCAAACCATTCATAATGTTCACAGTGAACCTCTAATAGAAAACCTTCAGCTCTATATAATAAAATAGTTTATGGTATATATATACATTGTGTGGCATAGGATAGTAAGAAATTCAGTCGAGCTTGATGCAAATGGGCTCAAGCACTCTTATTACTGTTACGCAGAAAATTAGGATTTGAGACAGCTCAAAGAATGGATGCACTCGCGCCATTGCAAACTGTTAAAACTGGACCACCATCCTTAAATATCTCAGGAGCCAGTCTATCAGGACCTGCTGCTCTACCTCCCTTGAGATTTCCTATAGCTTTCTCAACTTCATGTAGACTGGGAGGACTTAAATCGATTTGCCATTCAGGATGAGTGGGGATCGTGGGCAACTGAAGTGTGGCTGAAGACCGGTTGAACTGGTCCCTAAATAGTAATACTCATAATCATTCTCCACAAACATGTAAAAATTATACCAGCATAATTAGTATTAACTCACCTCTAACACGTATCGTATATTTAATTCGTAATGACCGACCTAAATGTACCGATTCAGCAATATAATGTCCAGAATCACTGACTGATAAATTAATTAATCGTAAATTCCCATAGGCACCATCAACTAATTCATATTTGGTACCCCATGGCAATTCATTGATTTGTCGACGACCAACGGTACCGCTGCTACTACTACTACTACTACCAGATGAAGAATTTGATATGGCTGACGATGACGCTGACGCCGATGTCAGTGCTGAACCGGAATTACCAGTACTACTACTACCGCTACCACTGCTGCCACTAGAGGTAGCGCTACTGATTGATGAATCCAATGCTATAGCTTGTCTTACACGACTTGCTTCATTTAAATAATACCAATCCACTTGTGTACGACCTTCACCTTCTACAGCCCAAGGTAATTCAATTGTAGAACCCTGGAGAGAGAAAAAAAACAGTGAACCAAGAAGCTATTTAAAAAAAATGGAAATCAACAGTTTAGATTAAATAGCACACACACAGAGAATGTGTAATTTCTGTAAACTTCAATTCAACTTCATACTACATAAGTCAGGATAATATTGATTTACTACCAGGGGGATCACTTATTGACTTAGAATATACCGATGATATAGTTCCATTCGGTGAAGACATTGACAAAATGCCAAAGTCTTCTGACTATCCTGAGCAACAATGCAAGCATGTTCGGGATGCCGTTTCCCTCCGCCTCCCGGAAATGCAAAATGTTGCTCCAGGATTGGGTTGCGTCCGTACTTGAACTAGTTATAGGCAGTGAAGTAGTCGAACGTGTAGACCGCTTCACTTAGCTCGGGAGTCTCATCAGTGCCGAGGACCTGGTGACTGACGAAATCACAGCACGGATACAGAAGGCTCGATTGGCTTTTGCCAATTTAAGTCATTAATGGCGTAGGCGATATATCTGTCTGCTAACTAGAGGACAAGTGTACTGCGCAGCAGTTCGCTCCGTTCTCCTTTATAGGTGCGAAACATGGCCGATAAGAATAGAAGATATTCGTAGGTTACTAGTATTTGATCATGGATGTCTTCGAAGCATTGTTCGTATATCCTGGGACAACCCAGTAAGCAATGCTGTCGTCAGGAAACGAGTACTAGGTAAGGATGGCAGATCAATAGACGAAGTATTGAAATTTCATCATTTGAGGTTGTTGGGACATGTGTTACGTATGCTTAACCACCGACTGCCTCGACAAGCTATGTTTTGTGGTGTAGGAATAGGTTGGAAGAAAGTTAGGGGTGGCCAGACCAAAACATGGCACAAATCCATGAAGTCACTGACAAGTGGACTGAGTCATGTTGATAGATGTCGACTACCTGGTTGGGTTCCGCCAGTCGAAAGTCATCGATGGTTAGAGACCTTGAATGACATGGCTCAAAACTGTTTGCAGTGGCGTAGGTGCATCCACCTTATGTGTTTATGGAATTCTCATCATCTCTATCTTTCTAAATTTATTACACTGGATTATAACTTCTTGAATAATATCTTGGAACCCTAATCTTCTCCATTAGCAGTAGTACTTCTGCTATGTCTATCACTATGGGATTCGAAGTGACAACTGCGTCTCTGTGCTAATGTGGTGTGGCAACCTTAACTAATGTACTTACGTACGAAGTTCTACGTTGCAACTGACTGACTGACTGATTGACTGATAATATTGATTGAGACTAATTTGAGGACTTAATCCCAAGAGACCAGTGATCCGGTATCCAACAATGTTAATGTCTAGTTACAATCAATTCACATGCATGCGCAATATTCAAAGACTTGCACTGCTACTGACGAAGTCACATGCTAGGACGAAACAGCCGTCCAATGCTTTAGGCCACTAAACCGGTGGCATCCAACGGTGTTAATGAGTAACATTAATCTCAATCGACGGATATTGCACATCCTCACCGATTGTCTTCATTAGGAAAACTGTGTACGCCTGTCTAAACAGGCTTGAAAATCATTGTCATCATCAAAATGTCTTCAACTAAACTACATCAATACAATTGAAATCGACGCTAACTTACACGTAGAATATTGATCTCATTACCGACACTACGTAGTTCAGCATAGGAAAAACGAAACTGCAATCGTTGTAGTCGACCACGTTCTGGACGTTCCACAGTGACTGATTCATCTACAATTGATTGAAGAACACAACGAACTTCCATAGATGTGAGTTCAGCTTCAGTAATTGATCGAATATGTAATTCTGGATGTTTAGTTACATTGATCATACTGAAACGACCATCTGAAAGAGATAATTATGACAATGATGATTACGATGATCGTGAAAAATTGAAGATGAGCAGTAAATGACAATCTACCGGTGGAACTTGTTAAAAACCAAAACTCTCCATGAAATATAGTTATCAGATAATGATTGTATTAGTGAAATCATTATTCAGTCATTGTTAAACTACCATTTACAAAGAAGTCTGGAAGCGCTGAAAGACGGCTGTTTTGTCCAGGTATGGGATTCATTAGAGGCTGTGTGCATCCATGATTAATGCAACTCGCAGGATTTTGACCCAGGACCTTCGGTCTTAAGCGCGAACGCCTAACCTTCGGATCAATGTGCTCACTGGCGCTAGCCTCGTGAGAAAATTCTCGTAGTTCTAGCGAGAAGACATGACATGCGACAGTTCAATCCTGTCGAGTGTAGGCAGTAACTAGCGAAGACAATGTGTGAGGTTGCGCGAAATTCCTAGACTAATCAGAGTTACACATTAATACCAGCCCAGTGGGTCAGGGGTTAGGTGTTCGTGCGCAAGACCGAAGGTTTTTTGGTTTCGAATACGGCGAGTAGCAGGAGTTGTGGATGTGCACTACTGACGAGTCCCATACTTGGACAAAATGACCATCCAGTGCTCCCAGGTTTCCTTCTAATAGTGGTCTAACAACGATCAGACAGAGAGATACAACGCAAAACTTCGTACATCAGTTCAGGTTGCCGTGCCCCATCAGCACAGAGACGCAGCTGTCAGTTCAAATCCCATAGTGGTAGCGATAGAAGGAGTATTAGCAGTAATGCAGAAGATTAGAAAGAAGGCGAAGATATGATTCAAGAAGTATAATTCAATAAGATAAATTTAGAAAGAGAAAGGTAGCGATTGTGAGGAATGCAGAAGATTAGGATTTGAGTTAACACAACAAGCAGATGCACTTGCGCCATTGCAAACGATTTTGAACCATGTCGTTCAAGGTCTCTAACCGTCGGTGACTTTCGTCACGCGGACCACAATTAAGCAGTCTACATCTACCAACATGACTCAGTCCACTTGTCAGTGACTTCATGGATTTCTGCCATGTTTGTGTTTGGCCACCCCTAACTTTCTTCCAACCTATTCCTAAACTACAAAACATAGCTCGTCTAGGCAGTCGGTGGTTATGCACTCGTAACATATGTCTCAACCACCTCAAATGATGAAGTTTTACTACTGCATCTCTTCATCTGTCATCCTTGCTTAAGATGCGTTTCCTAACAGTTGCACTGTTTACTCGATAGTCGCAAGATAAACGAACCATGCTTCCGAGACACTTATATGATCGAAGACAAGTAACCTACGAAAGTCCTCTACTCTTAACGACCATATTTTGCATCCGTATAGTAGGACGGAGCGAACTACTGAACAGTAACACTTCACACACTTCTCATCCACTGTAGTTTTAGAAAATTGATCGGAAAATATCTCTAGTCTTTAGCATCATATCAATATGGTGTAACAGAAAAGTCAAATAATATTAATCTTGTAGTCTGTCTGTGTGTGTTGTGCCCATATGAATTGTTGCCTAACCTTTTCGCCCCCAGTTACTACTATTCACCACGCCAAATGAGCTTGTTAATGGAAGCGCTTATAACTTGGTTGTTGTTGTTGTTGTTACTAGAGTGTGCGCAAGCGTACATTGCTTATACTTCGCTTTATCGCACGTGTAAGCTTATAATTCTTTCCGCTGACTATAAATAACATCTAGTCATGCGTCACTGAATTGCAGTAGGCAAACACTCGCCTTCTTCCCCACGTCGGCTTTGCGTTGCCTCTATATATCCTTATGTTTATCTACGTGACCGATTGCATGAAGATAAACTCATCTAACTGAGTCTGTATTTCGTATCTTATTACCATCGTCTTAGCAATAAACGCGGTGTTCGCCGTTAAGTAAATGAGAAGGGAAGATTTAGTTCACAAAGCATATATTCAATGCTCAGTCTAAATTGAAGTCAGATCTAACAAGGTGTTAAGTTCATCACTAGGTATGCTTGAAACTATTATGAATTCACCTTAGTCGATAAACGCGAACGAGACAACGAACCAGCATCCAGGTAGGCTACCGTGATTAAATAAATGACTGACCAAAAAGTCTTGATATGGCGTAGAAATTAAATATTACAAACATCCAGCAAGCACAATGCAATCAAGCCCACAACTCTCGTTTATTTATACATCATAGAAACGTCCTAGTGGGACAGTCACAAAAATAACACACTAAAATGACACAGCAGCCAATCAAAGCCACGGATTTTCCTAGTGGGTAGTGTATGACGTGAGTGTAAACGTAATGTCTGGCAGTAGAAGATGGGAGAAGATCAAGCGAAAGGAAGAGTTAGAAGAACACAATGGAATTTGTATGAAACGTGAATGAATAGTGACAATGGATTGATGTTTTGCAACAGGAACAGTCCACTTCGATATGATGAACTGATATTTTGCAAATTAACGATTTACAATATGGTCTTCCTATTTTACTGAGTAACTCTGTAATTTTCGTTGCCCACCTGTGTTCTCTTTCACTACAAACTGATCAGCCCATGCCCGGAAACATGAAATCCAAAATCAAGGCATTTATCAAGCGAGATCTGAGGATCTAACGTCCCCAAAACAAGGTCACTAAAATCTATTCACGAATAAATTATTTATTCAAGTCAAACTGACAAGAGATACAGAAACACCACACGCACACACACACACACACAAAGAAAAATCTACCTGTGTGTACGTTCAAATAAATTTCCAGCGAACATCAATCCACACATAACAGACCATTAAACTTATTAAAAGTTAACATTTAACAATTAATTTCTATACTCAGTGGATCAATGACTACTAATGGATTCATTCTGCCAGAGACTCAACTACAGGCAATGTGATACTACTGATAGACACCAATGTTAATTTAACAACGAAGAACAGAGCTAATACTACTTATTTGTTATATCTATTTTTTTCATTAATTACACGTCACTGCCTCAACGAGTGATGTTTTGTGGTGTAGAAGGAAGGTAGGAAAAACGTTTAGGGGCGAAAAAAATACCAAAACATGGCAGAAATGCATGAAGTCACTGACAAGTGGACTGAGTCATATTGGTAGATGTAGGCTACGTGGTTGGGGTCCGCGAGATGTGAGTCACCGATGGTTAAAGACCTTAAACGACATGGCTCAAAATTGTTTGCAATGACGCAGGCGCATTCATTCATTGTGTTCTCTCTGTCCATCTCTTTCTAACTCTATCTCACTGAATTTTACTTCTCGGATCATATCTTCGCTCCCTAATATTCTCCAATACAACAATGACCCGGATCCCTAGTCCGAGATCCGGGTGAGCATCAACTGTGGAATGTAAAAGGTGCAGCTCGCACGACAAGTCCCAAATAGGGACTGAAACGGGCGTCCCATATTTTACTGCTAGCCACTATTCATCTCTGCTTCGATCCAGCAATGCATTTCAAATTACACGATAAGATGTAATAGCTATTACTTGAAATATCATGGATTCCCCCTTAAGGTCATATGAGGAGTATTACTTTTACTGATAGCAATTTCCTCATGTTAGTTTTCTTTTATGGCTGGCTGCATTTCGTCAATCATTCGATGAATTCTGTGCTAAAATTTTACACACTATACTATACAATACTTCCCAACTAAGGAGAAATAGTTTGAATAATTTTGAGTTAGAATTAGTAACTAGTTTTATGAATAAGTAGTAACAAACTTCAAAATTTATTTTACATCTCTTCCCTTCTCAGTGAAAGCACTCGATCGTTCATGACCCTAACGAGTTATACTGCCTGCAATATATGTTCCGGAAGGTTCTACCATGCCAGGCAGGTCGATTGGAGAACACTGAGACTAAAAGCAACAACTCAAAGGTCTGAGGGCGAAGCAGTACTGCTGACTGTAGAGGGATGTGACAGCAGTAAGGTGTTTCCAATCGGACAACTAACATTTGCAGCGATGCTGCCTTCTCACAAGGAAGGAAGGAAGTGTTAGAAACAGTCGACCCTAAATATATCACACCCCACCCTACCTCACGGATTTCCGTCTCTGGGCAGTAAGGCTTTTTAAACAAGAACGGAACTAAGACTTTAAATACTACCCATAAAAGGTCTGTGAGTGACCGGCGTCAAGCAGTTGTCCCTTGGACTCTGCTGTCATGCTGACAAGTCGTTAAGACTGACTGACTGAGTCAGTGTAAGCAAGGAAAAATATAGATCTATACACACAGAAGAAGCAATTCAATATATGGTTTTTCCAACCTATTATTAATCTAATCAACTTCAAAATAGTATGATAGTAGTAAGTTAATCAAACTATTCATGGTGGAGTTTCGTTCTTTGAGTTGGTGATCTTTTGGTTGTGGAGCTTTCATTATAGTTCTTCTTCTGAACAACAACATCATCAACGGCATAAATTTCAGCTGGAATTGAAGTATGTGGATACAATCAAAATACAAGTGCAAACAATGGCCGGTTGAAAGGTCACCAACAACCAATCAAGATTGAGGTTAACAGAACAAGCTACAGAGGGGATCAAACGTGGAGGAATTCGAATACTTGAAGTTTGTATTGATGATGTTGTTGTGTTCAGAAGCAGAACAGTAGCTCCACAACCAAAACATCCACCAGCTCACAGGAACAAAACTCCACCACAAACATCCCCATCTGAGCTAAAAAAAATACACTTGATGACGATCTCATGATGATTCTTGTTTGTTTTGAAATTCATTTGTCCAATAAAAATCAACGCTTAATTTTATTATTCATTCAAGAGTTTGTTGATTGGTTCAATAAACAATTGTTGATTTGAAAACCAAAAATAAAAACAATCATGGCAAAATTTACAAATTATCCAATCAAATTCGATGCGTGGGCGTGACATACACACTCTCTGTACATAGCCCGATGTACGTACCAATCATAGACACATACACACACACACCTACAGACATACAGACATACAAAAACAAATAATTTCACGTGAAAAAAAGAATAAAAATAATGATAATAAATAAAGGAGAGAAAAAAAGCATCAACAACCAACCAGTTTATCGATCGATTGGACAAATGCCAAACGGGCAAATAGAGAGAGAGAGAGTTTATTTTTCCATAATTGTTAAAATAATCATTTTGTATATAGATTTGTAGATTTGATTGATCATTCAAGGAAGTGTATAAAGTTTATGGTATGAAGAAAAAAAAGGATAAAATGAACAAACAATACTGAATGTATGATCGAAAGATCATTTGAATTGTTGAAATAATCGTAGTGTGTAAGTGTAGGATTCAAATTGAGGTTTGAAGTGAGGAATAAGACTGTCTAGGTAGTTTAGATACGCACTATTGCCCAGTTGAAAACCAAAACAAAGTGATTTGCGTAAATGACAGTGGTTCTAATATTCATCATAAATATAAATGCACATCATTATCTAAACTAATATTATCACTCAGTTATTCCACCAACGATTGTTCAGTTAATCAAATCCACAACAGCAACAAATAAATGACATTTTATCCCTCCTAGATAGGTCAGATTCGTTTGATAGATAATATTTCGTTGCTTTATAACACAGAGTGTTTCCTATTCTGGAAAAGTGCTTCAATTCACAATCCAAATGCACAATTCCAAGCAATCCAATCAAAAGAGGAACAAATCAATCAATATGGCAGTCGCCATGACTAAGTATCAGCTTAAACAACATAAATGCAGTTCAGAAAGGAATATAGAAACTCAGTGAAGGCCGAAGTAATAGAAACTATAATAATAAAATACAAATAGTATCATCTCCGAAATGGAATCGAACAGATTAACAAAATGTACAACTGAAGGAATGAATAAGAACAAATTACACATGTATACCATGGAGAGGGATTGATTAGTTGAAGTTGTTGAAGTGGTTGTTACGTATGCCCAACCACCGACTGCCTCCTAAACAAGAGAAGCTGTCTGATCTAAAGGTAGGATAGAATAAAGCTGTTAGGGACTGCTAGTGAGGTTTTGTGAGAATTTATTTCATTTTTCGCAAGAACTTTAAGAATTACCACCTCACACACAGAGTTAGTCACTAATAGTGAGTACATAATGGCTGTTACTATTAGGTGTTTGGAGATTTTTGCAGTTGAATTCACGAGCTTATCTTCGGTAAACCACCATTAGAAGCACTGGACGGCCGTTACGTACCAGTACGTGTTGGGGACATTGACAGTTTAGTCGATCAATAAGAAACAACATTTGAAGTGACATTAACAGTCAGGACAACCAATAAGAAACAACATTGGAGCACATGACATGGGTATCTAGGACGACCATAAAGCTGACCAGTAGGAATTAACCAATAGGAATTGACCAGTAATTCTCTTAAGATATTGAATGAATATCCTAACAGGACTAGACTTCACAGCAATTCGCATTCATGACGTCTGTAAGCAGGAATCGAACCCAGATCCTTTGGTTTCATGCTGGAACACAGAACCGCTTGATCGTATGGTTGTTGCCTAACGGTTTTTATGTCTGGCTTCAATCAATCGATGAGGTAGCTCACCTGATCATTTATTATCCGCGGCGGATTACTTACTATCTCACAACATCCAATTTGGATTGAACTCCACTAGTTTCGCGGTATAAACTGATTTCCGACAACAAATCAATTTATTTTACTAACCATTCCTAAGCCTTCCTGGGTTACTGCCAATCCCAAGACACAAAAGGACACATTATACAGAGAAATGGAGACAAACATGAATAGAATGGACAGCTAGAAAAGAAAGCTTAGGACAGAGAGTAAGTAGATTGGAGAATGCTGTTCAGTGGTTGATGCTTCTTTAAGGGAGGATACACATTGCAGAAAGCACTGAACTGCGGCGCATCACAAGATAAGCCACCCAATTGGAACTCTCACGGTCAAATGATAAGAGCAATACCAAAAAAACACATTACACCGGAGACAGACATAAAAAACAGAATGGTGGAGAAGATTTGTAGCTCAGGTGGATGATTGTGGTAGTGGTGGTGGTGTTTGGTTCTCTGAGCTGGATGTTTTTTGGTTGTGGAGCTTCTATCTGAAGTTTGTGCTGCTGATGATGTTGTTGTTCAGCAGGAGAACAATGAAAGCTACACAACCAAAACATCCCCAGCTCAGAGAACTAATCACCAACACCATCACAATAAAAAAGAATGAACAGCGATTGGTGTAGAACTGAAAAACAAAGCCCAACACAGAGAGTAAGGTTGGTGATTGCTGATCGGTAGACAGTCTCTGCACACCTCCTAGTGTAGTGAAGGAGAACACAGATGAGGGCAACCGAATTGTATGTAACGAAAATTACAGAGTTACTCAGTAAAATCGGAAAACCATATCGTAAATCGTTCATTTACAAAATATCAGTCCATCATATCGAACTGGACTGTTCCTGTTGCAAAGCATCAATCCATTGTCACTATTCATGAGTTTCATACAAATTCCATTGTTTTCTAACTGTTCCTTTCTTGATCTTCCCTCATCTTCTGCTGCCAGACATTACGTTGACACTCACTTCATATACTACTTATAAGTAGCTGACACCACGCTAGGAGTAATAGGCATAAATAAGATTACAAAATAAAAAAGGACAAAACATCAATCAATTCACAATCTCACATAAAACTTACATGAATGATCAATGGTGGAAATTAATGTCTTATTCATATATACTTCCCAATATTTGACTTTTAAAAATCGATTAAATATACCCTGTTCCGGTTGACAACTGATAACAGCTTTTTGTCTTGGTTTAATTGGGAATGTATTATAGATAATTTTTAAATTTTCATCTGGCATTGGAACTGAAAATTGAATAAAATAACAAACAAATAAAAAAAACTCAATTATCAACCGATTACTATGATTTGATTTATTTTGAATAGAAAACTGTTCGGGGTTGTTAGATCCACAACACAACTCGCTTGATAAATAAATGCCTTAATTTTGGATTTCATGTTTTTGCTAGCTAGCTAGCATGGACTGATCAGTTAGTTGACTTTGAGATTTTTAGCTTCCACCAGGAAAATCCATGGCTGTGTGATTGACTGCTGTGTATTATTTTACAAGATATTCGTCGGTTATTGGTTTTCGATCATATGTGTCTTCGAAGCATTGTTCGTATATCCTAGGACAACTGAGTAAGTAATGCTGTTATTAGGAAACGGGTGCTAGGTAAGAATGGCAGATCAATAGATGAAGTGGTGAAACTTCATCAGTTGAGGTGGTTGAGACAAGTGTTACGAATGCCTAACCACCAACTGCCTCGACGAGCTATGTTTTGTGGTGTAGGAGTAGGTTGGAAGAAAGTTAGGGGCGGCCAGACTAAAACATGGCACAAATCCATGAAGTCACTGACAAGTGGACTGAGTCATGTTGGCAGATGTAGACTGCCTGGTTGGGGTCCGCGAGACGAAAGTAACCGATGGTTAGAGACCTTGAACGATATGGCTCAAAATCGTTTGCAATGGCGCAAGTGCATCCATTTGTTGTGTTCTCTCAAATCCTAATCTTCTGCATTGTTCAACATCTCTAGTTTTGACTTTCTAAACTTTTCTCACTGAATCATACTTCTTGAATAATATCTTCGAACCCTAGTCTTCTATATTAACATTAATACCTCTACTATCTTTATCACTATGGGATTTGATTTGACATTTGCGTCTCTGTGCTAATGTGGTATGGCAACATGAACTAATGTACATACATACGAAGTTCTACGTTGCAACTGACTGACTGGTTGCAGAGTATTTGAGTTACTCAGTCAGTTACAACGTAGAACTTCGTATGTACGTACGTACATCAGTTCAGGTTGCCATACCACATCAGCACAGAGACGTAACTGTCAGTTCAAATCCCCTAGTACTAGAGACAGTAGAAGTATTAGCAGTAATGAAGAAGATTACGGTTTGAAGATATGATTCGAGAAGTATAATTCAGTGAGATAACTTAAGAAAAAAGAGAGATAGAGATTATGATGAATGCAGAAGGTTAGAATTTGAGAGAACACAATGAGTAGATACACCTGTGCCATTGCAAACGATTTTGAGCCATGGTACACACCCGTACCAGAAAGGTATTTGAAGCGGGTAACTACTTCTTGACTGGTGCTCCCCTGATATTGGAAGAATACTCCTGTACCTTATATTCTTGAGGTACTTCAAAAAAGCAAATTCGGTTAGGATGTGAGCATATTGTTCTCATGTTTTGACTCTACAATATCATGGTTTGATTTCCAGCTGACAGGTTTTTGTCAGTCAGTTGAAACGTAGAACTTAATACGTATGTACGTACGTATGCACATCAGTTCAAGTTGCCATAGCACATTAGAACAGCGATGCAACTGTCTCTTTCAAATCCCTTTAATACTTAAGGTAGCAGAAGTGTATTCAGTCAGTTGCAACGTAGAACTTCGTACGTGTGTACATAAGTTCATGTTCAAGGTAGCAGCTTCGGTCGGGAGTAGAAGCGTATTAGCAATAGTTAGAGAGAATAGGGTTAGATGATATTACTCAAGAAAAATATCTTAATGAAATAAATTTAAAAAGAGAAAGGTAATGAGGAATTCAGAAGATTAGAATTTCAAACAACATAAACAGTGGATGCACCCAAGCAAGTACAAACGGTTTTGAATCATGTCGGTCAGGGTCTCTAACCATCGATTATTATCATCCCCAGACCCCAACCAGGTAGTTGACAACTACCGACATGACTCAGTCCACTTGTCAATGACTTCATGGTTTTGTGCCATGTTTTGGTTTGGCCGCCCCCGAAAGTATAAATACTTCATCTATTGATCTACCATCTTTACCTAGTATCCATTTCCTAACAACAGCATTGCTTACTCAATAGCACAGCTTCGAAGACACGTATGATCAAAAACCACTAACCTACAGTCAGTCAGTATTAGGATATGCAACAAATATCCTAAAGAAATTATTTTGTAAGTCTAATTCAGTTGGTCAATTCCTATTGGTTAATATTTACGGTCGTCCTAAACTATCAAGTTCAAACACATTTAAATGCTATTTCCTATTGGTAAGTATTCACGGTCGACCTAACTGTATAAATATGCATTGTCTGTACAGTTTTATGCTCCTCTTCTTCTTCTGTACAAAACCTCATATTTTCTGGGTGCTTTTAGAACACACTTTCTACACTAGATCAAGATTTTTCGATACCGTTATTGGGGGCTTGGGACACTCGGATTCAAAATAGCCTATCGTGTAAATGGATCATGTTTCTTAGCTCATTTACGGACTAAGGTGAACTCATAATAATTCAGGCATATCAATTTGACGAGCATAACACTCAATCAGTCAGCAACATAGAACCTCGTACGTACGTACATCAGTTCAAGTAACCTATGAATATCATCTACTCTTACAGAGATAAAGTAAGCGGAGCGAACTGCTGCGTAGTAAACCCGTCCTTCGATTAGTAACCAGATACCTAGTTTACGCCATAAGTGACGCAAGTTGGCAAAAGCCAATTGCACATTCTGTATCTGCGCTGAGATTTCGTCATTACCCAGACGATCAGCACTGATGAGATTCCCAAAGGCAACTGTATTGTAGGAGGTGAAGTATCTTATCTTTAGAGTTGACTTCTCCTAGCTCTCCTCTCCTCTCCATTGTGGCAAGACAGTAAGTATTGTTGTAGGCATTAAATGATTGAATGGAACATCTTATTGCGGTTACAGCTCAATTCAATCCACAGTACATCTTTTCCCTGAAACCTGACGTTTGCTAATTCTAGCTGAAACCATTTATTCCCCAACCAACTGGATCATCGTAACAACAATGTATAGACGAATCACTATGATGAGATAACCAAAGCAGTAGGTCTACAAGTTTACGGTAGCTCAGAATAAATTACCGGTTACATCTCATCAGACTATGAAAGTAAAATGATGAAGGTTAGAGAATCCTAATTGGACTAAAAGTTTATTTATGTCTGTACGTACATACATAATGGTGATGATTGCTAGTTTGCATAAAATCAAAATCCACAATTAACTGTCAACTACTTTCAATCGTAATATAGAGTACACAATGTTGATTAGATCAATAAAATTAAGTCAGTATTAAAGACTAGACCAATAAGACATCAGTAATTATTACATAGCCTCGACCTACTCACCCACACTACCCGAACATGGTAATAATCAGCGATACCGATTGTCAAAACCCAATCAACCTAACATACTTTTTTAATTAAAAAAGACAACATAAGTAACGGTAAATTTAATATCTAACTCTATCTAGTGGCCCCTCTGAGACTATTGCCTGTCCCAAACCCAGAGATGAAGGAGCAGGGTTGGGAATGATGAGGTCAGTCAGTCAGTCACATGCAACGTAGAACTTCGTACGTTAGTACATCAGTTCATGTCGCCATACCACATCAGCACAGAAATATAATTGTCAATTCAAATCCAATAGTAGAAGAGGTAGTAAGGGAATTAGAAGTAATCGGAGAGGTTAGGATTAGAAGATATTATTCAAGAAGTATGATTCAGTGAGAAAAGTTTAGAGAGTCGAAACTAGAGGTGTTGAAGAATCCAGAAGATTAGGATTTGAGAGAACACAAAGAATAAATGCACCGTCGCCGCTGCGAACGATTTTGAGCCATGTCATTCAAGGTCTCTAACCATCGATTATTATCATCTCGCGGACCCCAACCAGGTAGTCGACAATTACCGACATGACTCAGTCCACTTATCAATGACTTCATGGATTTCTGCCATGTTTTGATTTGGCCGCCCCTAACTTTCTTCCAACCTATTCCTACACTACAAAACAAAGCTGTTCGAGGCAGTCGGTGGTTCGGCATACGCAACACATGTCCCAACCACCTCAACTGGTGAAGTTTCACCACTTCATCTATTGATCTGCCATTCTTACCTAGCACCCGATTCCTAATAGCAGCGTTGCTCACTCGGGTGTCCCACGATATACGAGCAACGCTTCGGATACACCTATGATCAAAAAGCAGTAACCTACGAATATCTTCTACTCTCACTGGCCATGTTTCACAGCCATAAAGTAAGACGGAGCGAACCACTGCGCAGTACACTCGTCCTTTAGTCAGCAAACGGATATCTCGCCTACGCCATAAGTGACGCAGGTTGGCAAAAGCCAATCGAGCCTTCTGTATCCGTGCTGAGGTGAGCCATTCCATCCCGTTCCCATTCCATCCACCAAATAAGAAAAACATTAAAACCTACAATGATTTCCAAAAAACATCCGACAGATAACAAGGCACCACTTGGATGTATTATTGACAAGTCTGCAGTGAAACTTATCATCAATTACAATACCCCTCCTCTATGAACTGATGACTGTCGACAATATCGCATTAACCGCTCAGCCCTTTTAGAACAAACACTAATCTAGTCGATAATCAAATTATCATTATTATTATTAGTATTATTAATCAATTGAAATGTTCACCTTGATGTATCACCATTTTCCGTGATCGAGCTTGTCCGAGATAATTTTCAGCTTGACAAAAAAATACCATACGCATTGTGGATGAACGTGTCGCTGTGAAATTAAGCCAACCATTACCAACAAGAATTTGATTATTATGATTATGATGATTATTATTTGCATTGTGTTTAATAATATTATCCTGGCTATAATGATTATTTGTATTCATATTCGACGTAACAGTACTGGATGTAGAAGACGAAGAAGTACCAGTCCCAGTCCCAGTAGTACCATTCATTGTAGCCTGTTGTTGACTAGTTGATGATGATGATGATGATCCAAGATTTTCCATTGATGAAGATGACATTTCTTGATGATAATCTGCTTGAGGTGTTTCTCTAGAAAACAAAAAATACATACAAAAAATGTCATAGTCAACCAATCAGAAGTGATCAAATGTGACGGGCCAATTTGATGATAACCATCATGGGTCAAAACTCCGCCAGTAGAACCTTCGGGGCAACTGCCGGTCCCCAGCTCGGATAAAGTAGGAGGGTTGGACATGGGGTTGGTGACCCCATCCCGTCAAAAAACTAACTTGCCAAAAATACGCTAACCAGAAAAACTAATTCAAAACATTTTAACTCTGCCCTGGGAGTTGGAAGAAAGAATTATGACGTCTCGTGATGAAAGCCGAGTTCCCTCGGAAGTCACGGGGCTGATGCCTCTTCTGACAACCAGAGCAACCATTTTTTTTAGGTACATGGAACGTTCGTACATTGTGGGAGACTGGAAGACTATTTCAAGACTATTGCGGCAGAAATGAAAAGATACAACCTCGAGGTGCTCGGCATCAGTGAAACACATTGGACACAGGTAGGACAACTGAGACTAGCTTCAAGGGAACTGCTGTTATACTGGGCGGCCTATGCTCCATTGGGGGTAACAGGCGTAAGTAAGTAAGTAAGTAAGTAATCATGAGTCGAGAAATGACCTTCTCTTCTAATGAATCAATCAAGTTGGTCTCATGTGCTGTTAGGAGTATGAGGGAGAATGTTACTTACCAGCTGCTCCCTTGATTGTGGAAGCTTCTTCTTCTCAAGAGGTGGAATATAATTCAGTAGTCAAATAGACTATCACTTCTGTTTTTAACCATCTCACTCAAAGAGACAGTTATTTGGAAAGGGTGGGGGGGTGTTAGCATGTATCATGTTCAGATCTTGGACATCGCAGTACATTGTAAAAGTGAGAAAAGGTGGTCTTGTTTTTTTGAGATAGTCAACGAACGGAAAATAAAAGTGGTTGTCACTTAATCGACTACTACAACATTAAAGGATACTTGTTCTCTTGTCACTTGTAAAGAACATAACTTCAGAACTCGAGAGATAAAACTGTTTGAGACTGTTTGGTGGTATTTTGTAAGAAGTTCTTGACGCATCAAGTCTGTATGTTAAATCTCTTTTTATCGGTGATAGAAATTTTTTTGAGAGAACAAATTTTTCGATTTGCATTTAACTACATCACAAATATTGTTATCCTAAGAGAATTATTTTTGGAAGTCTAATTCTATTGGTCAATTCTTACTAGTCAATATTATGGTCGTCCTAGATAGCAATGTCACGTAGTTCAATGTTGTTTCCGATTGGTCGTCCTAACTATCAATATCACTTCAAATGTTGTTTCCTATACGACTTCACTGTATAAATACGCATTATCTGTAACATTTTATGACCTGGACATGGGTCCCTAGTCCGGGATCCTGATTCTTTTCTGGATTCGAACCTCGTACTTTCTGGATGCTTGTAGAATACATGTTCTACTTCATATCAAGTCTTGTCTTCTTTTACTCAATATGGAGGTTGGGATAGTCGGATGTGAGTAGCTTGTCGTGTCACCGGATCCTCGATCCTCGCTCTCGTTTTCCGACTAGGTAAACTCGTAATAGCTCAAACGTACCAAAATGAAGTGTTTACATGCAGGCGTAACAGTAATTAGTCTCATAGAGTACTAATACTCTCTTCTACTAAGAACACTATCTGATTTAATTTACATGCTCATACACTTTCTATGTGTAGGAGTGAGGGAAAAAACTACTGTTAACCAGAAAAAAAAGATGAGACGAAAGCATATTCTGTAAAAAAAAATTTACGTAGCAGTACTCTCTCCGATTATCAGTCAGTCAGTCAGTTGCAACGTAGAACTTCATACGTATGTACATAAGTTCATGTTGCCATACCACATTAGCACACAGACGCAAATGTCAAATCAAATCTCATAGTGATAAAGATAGTAGAGGTATTAATGTTAATAAAGAAGACTAGGGTTCGAAAATATTATTCAAGAAATATAATTCAGTGAGATAAGGTTAGAAAGACAAAGGTAGAGATGCTGACGAATCCAGAAGATTAGGATTTGAGAGAGCACAACGAATGGATGCACTTGCACCATTGCAAACGATTTTGAACCATGTCGTTCAAGGTCTCTAACCATTGATGACTTTCGTCTCGCGGACCCCAACCAGGTAGTCTACATCTACCAACATGACTCAGTCCACTAGTCAATGACTTCATGGATTTGTGCCATGTTTTGGTCTGGCCGCCCCTAGCTTTCTTCCAACCTACTCCTACACCACACAACATAGCTCGTCGAGGCAGTCGATGGTTAGCCATATTATACTTGATTTACATTCTTGTGCAGGGTGTATTCCTATTAAATTCACTCTCTCTCTCTCTAAATAATCTCTAATATGACCACATGTATATATAACAAGTGACTAAGAGGTCCGAATTACTGCCTTCTCGCATTAACGGCATTGAGAAGACGAAAAGTGAGTGGTTATCCAGAGGCTGAACCAGATTGATGGGCACAGAGGATCTATCTAACAGCCATTAGAAAATCTTTATTCAAAACCAATGGTGTACATGTGTTCCAGGATCCTGTTGGAACATGATGGTAGTACATGAGCCTATTGTTGGTCACTGGCTTACATGAGACTATATCGCCTTAAGTTGATCCACACTGCCTTATGGATTATACGTTTAGGCCAGAGGTTGTCCGAGGAGTAGCTTTCTAAGGCAACCATTTACTTTGGTTTGGGCATTCGAACAGTATCCCACCCTACTCATAAATTTAATAATTTGCATGTCACATAAATAATTGAGCGCTCCGTTTTGCATCAACATTTCAGCCAACTTGAAACACTTTTATCTTTGATTATATGGAAAATTTATGACAAAATATTTCATCTTAACGAAACAAATCAAAAAACCTACCTGACACGACTACTATAGCCAAGTTCACTGATATAATTTTCATCATTTTGAAATTCGATTGTATTATAATTCACAGCAACCGTATCATAACCAGATGACGACGAGGATGAAGCGGATGGAGCAATAGTTGAACTACCACTGCCACTCTCCCCGTTACTAAATAAACGATCTACACTAGTTGTTTTTGTAGTTGTTGGTCGACCACCATTTGTTGGCAAAGAGAACCAACGAATTTGAGGCGGTGGATTACCCGAAGCACGACATAGGACTTGCAGACCAGTACGATCGAAAAATCTTAATAAATTTGGTAAATCTGGAATTATATGCGGTGGTGAATGTGAAGCATCACTTAAACGTTTATTCCTGAGTAATGGAGATAATGATGATGATGAAGGGGATGGCTGGTGGTGTGATGACTTCAAATCGATATGTTGATGATTGGATGAATTAGGAGGATGAATATCGAATGTATAATTGTTTATATGTGGAGGGGATTTAGGACACTGTAATGATCGATTGACTGAAATGAAAAAAATCAATAAAAAGGAAGTACATAATTATGTGAAGCCTAACGAAATGAAGGTAAGTTGTTTTGAATTTCATCAAATAATCTGATCAGATTGACCAATAGAACGAAACCTATTTTAATGTTAAGTCGGTTATTTGCATGAAAAAAAATTATGTTGATCAAGAATGAATCGATCAATGTTAGACCACCATTAGAAACCTAGAAGCATTGGACGGCCGTTTCGTCCAGTCCGCATCCGCGACTCCTGTACCCCGCAGGATTCGAACCCAAGACCTTCGGTATTGTGTGCGAACGCCTAAACTCTGGACCACTGAACCGGTATCTAACGGTGTTAATGTCTAACTGCAATCAATTCACGGAGTTGCGCAATCTCATACACAGTCTTCGGTAGTTACTGTCTAAAACCTGAACAGCTTGAACTTCACTGGTCACGGATTCCCACTAGAACTCGGAGAAGATTCTTCACGAAGCTAATCACTAGTGAGTACACTTAATTTGCATTACGGGGTTGTTTTGAAGATTGTTTCAGAAATGTGTAACTTAACACTCAGATACACGCAGATGTTACCTTCATACAAGCAAGTCAAGAATGAATTATTACTCTCATCCAGAAAATGTCATTATTGGTATGTTTCAGAATCGTTTGCAATGGCGCAAGTGCATCCACTCTTTGTGTTCTTTGAAATTCTAACCCTCTGAATTCCTCATCGTCTCTATCTTCCTTTTTCTAAATTTACCTCACTGAATTATACTTCTCGAATCATATCTTCAAACCCTAAATTTATCCGTTGGGATGGGATTTGAATTGACAGTTGCGTCTCTGTGCTAATATGATATGGTAGCCCAAACTTATGTGCTCATGTACGCAGTTCGTACGTTGTAACTGACTGACTGACTAACTTATTGTTACTGATTAACTCTAGTACATTATTATTTTATACTCGTAATACAGGGAACTAGGTTTTGAGTAATAATAATTATTAGTATACATATTTAAATGAGCAGATATTTTAGAGAATTATTTTTCCAAGTATAAAGACAGAACATATTAGATATGGAGTAATTAAACAGCCACTTACATAAAAGAATTACTAAATGAGGTGAAAGTATACTCTCATGAAAAAAAACCATTACGGTTTACAATTGCAGCTACAGACAATTTCAGTGAAGTTTAAAATTCGATGACAGGGAGAGTGCATTTTGTCAGTCAGTCAGTCAGTTAGTCAGTTACAACGTAGAACTTCGTACGTACATACATAAATCAGTTCAGCTTGCTATACCACATTAGCACACAGAGATGTAATTGTCAATTCAAATCCAATAGTAGTAGAGGTAGGTAGTTAGTTAGTTAGTTGCAACGTAGAACTTCGTACGTGTGTACATAGGTTCATGTTGCCATACCACATTAGCACACAGACGCAAATGTCAAATCAAATCCCATAGTGATAAAGATAGTAGGGGTATTAATGGTAATGAAGAAGATTAGGGTTCGAAGATATTATTCAAGAAGTATAATTCAGTGAGATAAGGTTAGGAAGACAAAGGTAGAGGTGCTGACGAATCCAGAAGATTAGGATTTGAGAGAGCTCAACGAATGTATGCACTCGCACCATTGCAAACGATTTTGAGCCATGTCGTTCAAGGTCTCTAACCATTGATGACTTTCGTCTCGCGGACCCCAACCAGTTAGGTAGTAAATGTATTAGCAGTGGTCAGAGAGGTTACGATTAGAAGATATTATACAAGAAGTAGAATCTTGTGAAATAGCCTTTAAAAGATAAAAAAAATAGTGATGAAGAATTAAAAATTTTAGGATTTGAGAGAACACAGAGAGTAAATGCACCTGCGCCATTGCAAACGGTTTGGAGCCATGTCATTCAGCGTCTCTAACCATCCATTACTAACATCTCGCGGACCCCAACCAGATGTCTCAGTTCACTTGTCAGTGACTTCATGAATTTGTACCATGTTTTGGTCTGGCCGCCCCTAGCTTTCTTCTAACTTACTCTCCTACACCACAAAACAATGCTCGTCCAGGTAGTCGATGGTTTGGCATTCGTAACTGTTAGGATATTCACCAAATATCCTAAGAGTACTATTTTTTGAAGAAGTATAATCCCATTGGTTGATTTCTATTGGTCAAAATTATGGTCGTTTTAACTGTCAAAGTCAAATACTTCAATATTGTCTCTTAGTGGTCATCCGGACTATCAATGTCACAGACTTTGATGCTGTTTCCTATTCGACCTAAATGTATAAATACGCACTATCTGTAAGCCCTCATGATTCCGATTCCGATTCCGTTCTTCCTGCCTACCTCTCTTCTGTTCTCGACCCAATAAACAACTCCATCCAATGATGTTGCGTTCTGATATCTAGGAGATTCGGAAATCGTATTTGGGTCGTATTGTCAATTCAAATCCCATAGTAGTAGAGGTAGGTAGTAAATGTATTAGCAGTAATCGGGGAGATTATTGACAGACACTGCCACAGAACCTCACAATCCACAGAGTCAAATGCCGCCTTAAGATCTATAACATTGAAATCATGAATTGATCAATGTTAGACCATCACTGGAAACTTAGAATGATTAGATGGACATTTTGTCCAAGTATGAGACTTCACAGCAATGCACATCTATTACAACCCCTCGTCCTATAAGCGAGAATAAAACTTAGACCTTTCGGTCTCGCCCCTGAACACAACCTCTAGACCATTCTAGTTGACATCTATTTCAAGGAGAAATAGTTTATTGTGCAAAACATACCAGATCACATTACACTATTAGAATGAGAAAATACATTATAAAAGTCAGTCAGTCAGTCAGTAAGATGCAACGTAGGACTTCGTACGTAAGTACATCAGTTCATGTCGCCATACCACATCAGCACAGAAATATAATCGTCAATTCAAATCCAATAGTAGAAGAGGTAGTACGGGTATTAGAAGTAATCGGAGAGGTTAGGATTAGAAGATATTATTCAAGAAGTATGATTAAATGAGAAAAGTTTAGAAAGTCAAAACTAGAGGTGTTGAAGAATCCAGAAGATTAGGATTTGAGAGAACACAAAGAATAAATGCACCTGCGCCATTGCAAACGATTTTGAGCCATGTCATTCAGGGTATCTAACCATCGATTATTATCATCTCGCGGACCCCAACCAGGTAGTCGACAATTACCTACATGGCTAAGTCCACTTGTCAGTGACTTCATGGATTTATGCCATGTTTTGGTTTGGCCGCCCCTAGCTCTCTTCCAACCTACTACTACACTACAAAACAAAGCTCTTCGAGGCAGTCGGTGGTTAGGCATACGCAACACATGTCCCAACCACATGTAAATATAATACATTATAACATTTATGCACAAGCCAAAAATAACTGTTAGTCGGAGACGGGGGAACAGACTTAGTAAATGATAAATTGATGAGAATCTATCGAAAACAGTAACGCATAAGTTAGTCTTAAGTGTAATGCATACTACTTGCAACCTGGATATTCTAAATAGTATGCTATAGGGTATAGCCCAGAAATTACTACCGGAAACAAGAATGTCGGGTCAGAATACATGGCAAGATCAAAAAGTGTTTTGAACACTAGAAGAAGACTCAATAATCAGATTGTTCTACACGGTACAAGTCTGAAGCTAGGGTGCATACATATAGGAATAATATGTCATTGAAATGATGAATCGATCAACGTCAGACTACCATTAAAAACCTGGAAGCACTAAACGGAACTTTCGTTCTAATATGCGACTCCTCAGCAATGTTCATCCATGACTCACGTACGCGGGAATCGAACCCAGGACCATTATGATAGAGCTTTGTTCTCTGAACTAGATATTTTGATTGTGGAGCTTTCATCATTGTTCTTATTCTGAACACAAAAACATCATCAGCACAAACTTTAGGTAGAGTAGTGAAGTATTCGAATTTCTCCACCCGTATAACTAGTAACTTGTCCCTTTGACCTCGATCTTGATTGGTTGCAATTGAATTTTAAACTGTCGTTGTATGCATCCCTATTTTGATGCAGTTGCCCTTTGGTCAGGATCCTATGTTTGACTATGATTTTTTTCTGATTGGCTGGTGAATTGGATCAATAATATCGATGTGTTTGTTGATTGCCAATTGACAAGTTTTATACGTGGAGAAATTCGAATACTTCGCTCCAACCTGAAGTTTGTGCTGATGATTTCGTTCAAAAGAGCAATGATGAAATTTTCACAACCAAACTATCCAGCTCAGAGAACAAAACCCCTTTATAATCATCTGTCTGGGCTACAAATCTCCTAGGATCTTCAGTCTCGCGTTCATTCGCCTAACCTCTATACCATTGAGCTGGCATCCAGGTGTGAATATCTCACTTCAGTCCCCGCGTGAGGAGGAGACATGGATGAACACTGCTGAAGAGTCTCATATTAGGACGAAACGGCCGTTCAGTGCATTCAGGTTATAAACGGTAGTCTAACAAAGCTCCATTATTATACAGAGATGAAGGTTTCATGTAAGAAGACCAGAGGTTCGTTGTGATGAACATTGAGCATAATTTGGCATTCCATCGGCAAGTTTTGCTAATCATTGACCATACAGAAATTAAGTTTGCAGGGTAATCGATTTCACTGATGCTTGTGGTGGTTTTCTTGCAACATTCCCGAGGGCCACTGTCACTGAGGTGCTGCACTGCATACCACCACTGCTAATAATAATAATGAGTTTGTGACAATCATGTGAGCGGCATAGATTAAATTGGCCTGTGCATGTCGACTAACATGATCAAGGATCGGGAATAATCACTACATATGTATTGGTGTGCATAAATAGGTGTGAATAGACCACTAGGATATCAGGTACCTCTCTATGTGGTTGCGCTATGGGATTGAGCCGAACTATTTTCACGTTTTAGTGTTAACACGTGGGCAGTGTCTCTTGAAAACCAATGTAAAAATTACCCTTGCCAATTGGGAGTATATTTATATTTACCATATATTGTAAATAATCATACTGTTTTATCAGGAAGAAAAATGATTTCCTACAGGTTGTATTCGTTACAGATCGATCTTCGTTGGTGTACAAACAAAATATTCACGAGCCTATGCATGATAGGGTTAGGGAGACTGTTACGTCACTTTTTGAGATCATGAATTAACCCATGTTAGATCGCTATTAGAAACCTGGAAGCATTGAAAGACGGCTGCTTCACCCTGGTATCGGACTTATCAGCAGGCAGTGTCCACGACTCTTGTCAACTTGCAGGATTTGAACGCAAGACCTCCGGTCCAGTGCTTCCAGGTTTTTAATAGTGGCCTACCACCAGTGATCGATTCATGACTTCAAATTTAGATATATGTCTCGTCATTGTAGTCAATCTCAACTTATCAAATGAAAAAAAGAAGAGTTTTGTTTTTACATGCAACATCTCGTTAGCTCTAAATATGAAAGGAAAAATGCTTGAAAGCATTTGATAGATAACACGTACATGCATATATTGAACATTGATAAAAAGGATGAGCTACAATATGAGCCACAAAAGACATGTTCTATTTCATCAATATGAAAATGGTTTATTTGTAAGATTTGGTAAAAGTATACTATGCCGAAGACTTTGAGTAGCCTACCAGACGACAGTCAGAAAATGCTAACAATTAACAGCCAAATGCCATAAAATATCAACTTTGGTTTGATCAATACTCAACCCTGAAATGTTGAATGATTGGTTTTTAGGGGAAGGAAAAAAAAGGGTTAAGTTGACCTACTAAAAGTCGAGCTAGTTCTGTAAGTTAGAGTTATCACCAAATAGAGTTTTTGTCCCCAATTAAGCACCAGCCATGTTGCAAAAGTTTGCTGACTAAAGGACGAGTGTACTGCGCAGTAGTTCGCTCCGTCTTAGTTTATGGCTGTGAAACATGGCCAGTGAGAGTAGAAGATATTCGTAGGTTACTGGTTTTCGATCATAGGTGTCTCCGAAGCATTGCTCGTATATCCTGGGACACCCGAGTGAGCAACGCTGTCATTAGGAAACGGGTGCAAGGTAAGAATGACAGATCAATAGATGAAGTATTGAAACTTCATCAGTTGAGGTGGTTGGGACATGTGCTGCATATGCCTAATCACCGACTGCCTTGAAGA